AATTCTGTAACATAGTGTTTAATGTGGGTTCTAACACAATAAAGTATAATTTATCTTCTGTTAATGAAGAATTACATTCTTTTGTTACTGTGTTCTTGGTACAAAGGTGTAAGTGTTTTACCAATCCTCTATTTGTAAATAACTGAATACTGCTAAGATGTAGTTAACTTTAATAATGTATGTACTGAATGTAATGCCTGTTATCTATACTAATTGATATTTTGATACTCGAATGTAATTGCTATTATCCTTCTGCTGGTATTCTATTGTTACAGAAATAAATAAATGAAATTAATTCAATCCCAAATACTAACTACCAAATATTACAGACTATATTTATTTTCTTCATCAATACCCCTGTCAAAATCTACCAATGCCCTCGTGTACGCAACCCTCCATCTGTAACATAAATGAATTTCCATTAGATTCAAATATTCCTAAACAAAACCAACACTGTTTACAAAAAGGTGACTATGGGTTTACAATTTATTCAAAATTTATTTCCAAAGATTCCTAAACAAAGGGAAAACAGTGCTTACAAAACAGTAACGATGGTCTCCAATTTGCTTGTAATTCCGTTAGATTCAAATTTCCTGAACAAAGAAATGGCGATATTTACAAACAGGTGGAAGACGGAAGGTGTCGATGACTTTTCCGTCAACTTCACTGTTTCCAGGTTTCTCGTAATACCGGTGCACGTAGGTGAATCTTTCCCTCGGAACCTAGTTTTAATAAGGGAACATTGAATAAGGCTTGATAGAAATCTTTCGACGTACACGCGTAACGCAATGGAAACGCGTCTTCGCGCCAACGCGTGTAACCGAGCCTTCCCACAGGGTGGCGTGAGCCATCGCTGACGTTTTCTAACCGTCGCGCGGTTGTTTTAGGCCAGCACGCCGTTGCGCAATACGGCGTTTACGCGTATTATTTCGTCCGTACGCGGAATTTAAGGATGCAAAGCTATACATACTCTGCCTCAATTTCCACTTTGTACTAAAAGGGAACACGCGTAAATGCAAGCACGTCCCGGGGGGGGGGGCGGACTCATTAAAACATTGCAACAAGATGCAACCATATCTGATGAGACATGCTACATAATTACTCAATACACGATTTCAATTTTTGTTTTTGCAACAGAGAAGTAAGACCTTCTCTGCTAAAATTACTGTTGAATGATGAAACTTCGTATGTCTGTTAAGCAGTCAAAAATAAGGGATACGTATTTTTTTTATCGGCTGAGACGCGACTTTAAGGGGCGAAACCACCCCTCGAAGTTTCGAACCCAAATTTTTTTCTTATAAACAAATTATATTTTGGACAATTTGTTAGCACCATATTATTCTAGATAAAAAACCGCAAACCTCGTCCATTAGAAGTTTTCATGTATCTCCTCTGGTTTTCGAGATACTACTTTCGGGTCGAAACTTGGAGGGGTGGTTTCACCCCTTAAAGTCGCGTCTCAGCCGATAAAAAAAATACGTATCCCATATTTTTCACTGCTTAACAGACTTCCCTTGTGAGTAATATTTTCATTAATCTGCTTAGTATGCGAGTTTCCATGTGAAATTGAGCGTTAACGTAAACATTGTAGGGTTGCAATTTTGAATGTAATAAATTGTTGTTTAACCATCAGCATTCTGCAATCAAATAGTAAACAGTGGTAAATTACTTTTTTGTGTTTAGGTCAAACAATACTAAATTATGATTGGTAAATAATGAAATTAATTCATTGTTATAAAAATAATTTATTCTCAGTTGTATTATTCCTAATGGTTACTGTACAAACAATTCGAAAGCATGTTTACTTACGTTTATAAAATTTCATTACTCGTGCACTACATAAAATGACAAGGCACAAAATATGTGTGTAATTTAAATTATTCTCTATGCTGGCCAGAAGCTATGATTGCTGCAGTTGTTGTCACCGGATAAGTACAGGTCACTGGCGCAATTGTCGCCATTGATTACTATCTTGATTGTTACTTCAATCGTTGCATCACCACCATAATTACGGGCATTGTTGTTTTCATTGTGGGATGATGCTCGATGCTCAGCTAACCAACTACTGTGCATTGTCCAAATATGTAAAATGTAAAGATGTTTATGTGCAATAATGTCTAATGTTTAAGGATAATTGACAAGTAAACATTTTAAGTACAATAGACCACGAATTGTAAAATATCTCATGTAATTGTTCATTTAACTATTATTAGCGACTATGTGTTCATAAGCACACTTTATTCTCTTCTTACACGATAGACACGTTCCCGAAAAATCCCTGTAAAAACAATACCGTGCATATATCGTAACAATAATAGCAATATTATATCTTGATATACCTTTTACATTATATCTACTGCTGCAATAATTGTATATTTATTTTTTACTCCTGAAAGTATATTTTTAACATACTACTATACTACTATTATTATACAAATAACAGTAACTATTGTTCATATATATAATTATCTTGTATAGATTTTATATTAAGTTACTTTGTTCATTACGATAGTAAATAAACAAACTCTGTGCAAGTAAAGATTTTGTTCAACATTATTAATGTTATTAATGTGATCCTTCTTCTATATTCATGCTAATTACAACAGCCAGAAATCCAGGATAAGGAAAGGAAACTGTGTAACTCAATAAATGAAAAGAATTATAACAATAAAAGTATATATTCAATCGGTCGCTTGATAAAATTTGCACTAATCATACTTTAATGTAAAAATACTTACGAGTCTAATGATAATTTTACAAATAGATTAGACAAATTTTTGGCAAGCTATCGAAAAGTAGAATATTTCTTTTGAAATACAAGTCTGTATAATGCAATTAGATTGTCAAAAAACGAAAATCGTTTTTTTTGTCTAGAACACACTATATTAAGTTACTGCAAAAGTTTTGTTCGCTAATGAAGCAGGAAGAAGAATCCAGTTTTTAAAAGCAAAATTATATTATTACGCATAATGCAATCTTGTCATTGTGATAAAAATCAGCAAACGAAACTATTGCAGCCCTCAATAACTTGTACAATTGAAAAAAGTGTTAAACGGAAACAATACACCTTTTTACAATAATTTTTAAAACGTCAAACTTACAATAAAACGCCTCATTCACAAAACAAGCATCCTTTAAAAAATAGGCAAATTTTGTCCTATAACGATGTTTCCACGAGAAACCATTCAACTAGTGTTACAAGATTATTTTAAGGAAAAATAGTTTATTATGTAGCATTTACGAAATAGGATTCGAGCAATTCGTGTTGACCCTGAAATTCAAGATTAAATATTTAATTCTGCATACCGAGGTAAAGGGTTAAAGAGGAACCGTGATATATCAACAACCACTTTTTCAATAAAAAAAAAACTGTTAAAAAAGTTTTGATTAATTAAACTGCACAGCAGTTCTTCACTCTGCTTTTTTTATTGCAATCACTATAACCATCCAGGGTTGGAGAAAGAGATTTGAATTGTCCAAAACCTTAACAATTTTGCACGCAAAAAAATCTGAATTTCAAAGTCAACCTGAAGATTATAAAAGTCTTACAAATTTGTACCATTTAACTGTACGTATGTAAGTAACGATTTAGTTCATACCGGAAATCCTCGGGCAAATCTAATTACATTCCTAGTTTGAAAATGTCATTTTTTTCTTAATGTGCCTACATTCATCATTGGACACATTGTACAAGAGAGAACTAAATGATTCTACAAGAACCATAGGCCTTACTCGTTCGTAGACACAGCATTATGTTTTCAATGTGAAATTGCAACAGATTAACAGAACATTGGTATTCGCGATGGTTCCCTTTAAAAGTGTGCGTGTGATATGCAGCGATAATACAGGGTGTAACAAAAATATTGCAGGTCCCTGAAATGGGTCACTCCTGAGCAGGGCTTGAAAACTGTTATTATGATTTCGGTTTAGGTTCTTGAAACAGTTATGAAGAACTTTTATTCTGAATAACTGTTACAAAGAACCTAAATTTCAGGCTATATAAGTTTCAGTTACGGTTCCTATATCAGCTCCCATATCAGTATTGTGTAGGTTCTATACACGTTTTATAACAATTATTTTTTAGGTTGTACATTATATTACCGCGGGAGCTCGGGTGCTAATTGGTCGGGGTTTTTCGTTAATATCTCATTAACAAAGCCTCGGATAAGAATTTTGCTAAGAAAAAACATGTTAGAAATCGCCTCACGAGTGTCCCAATTCAAGGACCTGCAACATTTTTGTTGCATCCTGTATATTTCGGTGTCGTTTGTGTAAGGAAAACGTATCAGAAGTTATCAAAAAACGTGTATAAGATATTATTCGAATGATTGCAATTTCACATTGCAAATGCATCGTACTGCCTGCAAAGTACTAGGTTAAAGTCTCGCTAAATCGATTATATTTCGCTTATACCATTTCTTTCTATTTTCTATCACAAGAGAGATATGGCCAATCCCAGTCACGAGAATCACTTCATCTACTTAAGACTGAGTCTAGTAAGTATTTAACTATTACATTAATGTCTTCATTGTTTTGAAAATGAAAGAACTCCCTGACAGATATATTTCTGTAAAAATATAAGATTTCCCCGTCCAAAGCTGCCATCGTATGTGTTTACATTTACTTTCCCATGACTTGGACAGCAATAAAAGTTTTATTAAGTAAAAAAGAAAAGATAAAACTGACAGAGGGTTCAGGCATCCAATGTTTAGACTCTCTGGTCGGGAAAATGAAACACATTCACTGTTTTTAACGTTCGGTTGCTCCGAATACAATGCACGATTAAAAGACGAAGCGATACGCTTCAATTGATAAAAATGTATCATTGACCTGAGGTATGTAAACATAAGCAAACAAACGTATTATGAACAATGAATGCGATAACAGATTAACAGTTCCTACCTAAGTGAAGAGCTTCCCCCACAAGTAACAAGTCCCAACAATTTCGTTAATTTTGGTGCAAAAATACTTGTAAATTTTTTATCTATATACCAGGCGCGTTAAAGACCATTCTGAATTATATTGAAGGCAGCGCCGAGAGCCCAACTCAGTTCGTGTCCATTTATCTTCTTGTACAGCTATTTGAAAAAAAGTCAGTATTAATTTAAGGACGTCAATAACGGTCGACTAGTCATCACAATAAATGTGTGTACATTACGTATTCTTACATATAGTTTTGTAGTGGGTTCCAAGCCAAATCCATCACGAAGGAGGACATAAATGAATGTTAAATCAAGACAAATGAAAGGTTGATCAGTATTCGGATAATCGCAGGCATCCATTGCCTGTTTAAGAAATGCGCTTACTTGGACGACACCGCCGAAAAAGGGATCCACAAGACCAACCTAGAAACATTGATAACTTCAGACTGCAACTTTTTGTGTACGTTATACATTGGATACCGTTGTAATCTTTCGTATTAAACGAGTAATGTTAATTTCTAAACAAAATTTTCGTATCAACGATTTACCTCTGTCGCACGATCAAAGTAATAAGAAAATGCATAGATCTCGTGATCCTTTAGACCCTCTGGTTTATTTTTAACTCCATTGACATATTTCTCAATGATTTTTAGGCATTCTGAAAAGTTTACGATTGGCCGGTCCACCTCTCCACCAGCGAAATTTTGATTCTTCACCAATTTATGTGTTCCGTTGAGGGGACCTTTGACTAGGTAATTAAGTGCTCCGTATCTCCATTCAGTGGAGACTATGGGATTTATACATTCGGATCGTATTTCTACAGTTTCCCGTGGATTCACGTTCTCCAGGTTCTTTCCATGAGTTAGAATCTCTTTCTTAGCAGCCATAAGACCCATCCCCAAGTAACTGTGCGTGTACACACTCATGTTATGGTTAAAGATGTTAACGGAGTATACGTGTCCATCGAGTTTCTTTTCCTACACAAATTCAATGAAACGTCTTGTTTTATTTAATTGTATCTCTACATGTTACTGAACTGTAAACTTTTATGTATCTGTTATTTTAAAATATCTTAATGAATTCTGTATATCTTAATGCAAGAAAAGTTATTTAGTACTATTTATTTTATTATTTGTACCTGTAAAATGGTAGGTGAAAAAGTGACTTGTGTTGAACCTCCGCCAAGATCCAAAGCGGCAACAGTATTCCCAGGATTGTGTATACTGAATCGTTCCAGTAGGAAATTTACGGTGAACCAAGAGAAAATACCTTCGTCTGTTCCCTCCATTATAGAAATTGAATTTTTAGAAACCTAGAATGGAATAGCGGATAATAAGTAAAGAATCAAGAATTTTGCAAATAATAAGATTCCAAGTTCGTACTTGGAAACCAGAATCTTCGAATAATGTTCTACATTCTTGTAGTATGTCTTGAGCTTTATGTCCCGGAAGAAGTCTCAAACCAGCAGTGGCTCTCATGCTGAGAGGAGTGTGTTGCCATTCTAACTGTGGAATGACTGCTTTCACTTTGTCCAGCAGTACAGTAAGAGATTTGGCCGCATCTTTAGGCCTGTCTGCATAAGCACTGAGACCTGGTTTTGTTTGAAAGTAATGTTCACCATCTAGTATCAAGTTGCCACCAAGAATAGACTCGTAAAAGCTGAAAGCTAGTGCACGACTGCCAGTAGAGCCTGCATCAACTACTACAACGTAAAATCTTGATTGCAGACTCAAAGATAAAGCCAATGTATCGATTGCCTTGCTGCCAAAACGTACCGGTTTTAGGTCATACCTGTAAAAGGATTGACATGAATTAATAATTTCATATCATGATTGTGGTATTTAATATATAAACAATTGACAAAATCGTACGATATTGCTATGTATCCCAAAAAGAGGAAACCCAACAAGGCAACAACCAGAAAGTATCTTCTGCCCGGATGACCCCTTTTGGGACGTGTCTTCGGTTCCACTTGATAGATATCTGCATTTTCTGTTGTTAACTGGAAGCACAATTATTTGTTAATATCTTCGACGTAGATATTAAATAAAATTTTCTTTTCATATAAATATAGTACATTTTGAAAACTTTTTAAAGATGACAAAAAAGTAATAACTTTCAAATTGATAACAATTAAAGACAAATAACTAATAAATAACCTCAAAGATACTAAGATTCAAACTGACTTGATATTAAAAATCCTTAATTTGGTACACAAAATCGGTTGTATTGTGCACTTACTGGAATATATTGCATCTACTTTAGAATCAAAATGACTGATGTAGACACAACGAAGGCAGTTTACGTTTGTTCACATGTAGCAATTATTGGGAAAAATAAACACGAGCATCACGCACTTGAGAAATCTCGATCTTCAAAAGAATATAACGGGTGTACCATATAACGGTTCGTACAGCATTAAATATATTTATATTTTTTGTTATTGCACAATAAATACTTAAATCTACATTAAAATTATAGTATTATTAGTAATTACAATGAATTTTACGAATGAATATAATATTTATGTTGCATTCTATATTATACATATATTGTTCTTATATTTATTTACACAATTTTTTCATTGATATAATAAATGAAATGTGCCAAAGTTACTACAAAACTTGTTACAGACAAACTTATTAAATCAAAGTTATTATTATTTCTATTATACAGAAATACACTGATAAAGTTTATATTAATTTTTTATAAAATCCCAGCTGACAAAATTTATTCCAATATAAGTTACATAATTAGTATTTATGTAGCATATACTTAAAATTTATAAATATCGATTTGTGAGGCAAAGATATTCACATATATTTACATAATTTTTCATAAAATTTATGAAAATATATGTAAGAATTAATGAATAAATGTTTAATATATTTTCACTCTTCATCTTATCTTTACTAGAACTATAAATTATTTTTATTATATCTTCTGTATTAGAGTACAATCATTTCAGAATATTAAAAATGAAAAAAATAAAGACCAACAAACAATTAAGAGAAAAATGTAACATTAAAAAACACCATTACCAACATAAGATTGTTTCCAATGACCAATCGCAATTTAAAATTATTTCATGCATGTGACGATGACATTAACAATTCACAAAGGAATTGATTTTGTTTCAAACAGTTTAGTATTCAAATTTATTATGGTCACGAACATTCACAAAGGTTTATTTAAAACTTACGTAATTAACTATTTAATGGGCGTAGCTACTTTTGAATTGGCCCTTTCTTCGCGTATTTAAAAATATGCTTCACCGATAAAGTCAACACTTTTTAATTATCAATGATTACAATGATTCCTAAAACATTTTAATTTCCAAACGAATTACCGCCATTAGTCTATTAAATAAACCACTAAAACGTAAATATACAGCATGCTGCTAAATGTAGGTTATATTAAGTAATCATTTTTTACCGCAGTAGGTAATATCCGTGAATTTTCCTATGCTATGGAAACAGTTTTAATACTTTGAACAAAGTTAATGAAACAGGAAATAAAATATTGAAAACAAACCTTTCTACGTTTAACCTCCATGTCGTTGGAAATTGCTCCGTATAAAAATTAAAATGAGGAATTAAAAAAAAAACGAAGCGCCTAACGCTAAAATGACGCTTCGCCGTTGTCTGATCATCAGCAGTGCAACTCCCGACGATGAGACTTGACATCGAGAAGATTGTTAGAATATCTAACAACAAAATGGCCGCGATAATGACTCAAGGTTTCGAGTACGGTTCGCTTCGAAGAATAGTTAGAATATCATGAAGGTGAACAAAGAATTCGTTGTTATCTGCGGTCACTTCACTAACAGATAATAGATGTATCTGTTACTCGATTGATTCGCCGCAAGCACTTAACACAATGGGTTTCATTGAACGCAAGAAGTGTTGTAACTAACAATATCAGTATATATAAAAGAAAAAAACTAGTTAACCCACTGTTCTGTATTCATATGCTTAATTATGCGCTTGTGTCAAATTAACAATTTCAAACGTTCGGTCATGCAATAATCATGGTACCTTTTTTACTTACAATTGATTCTCAGTTGGAACATGATGCATTAACTGTATTACACAGAGATAGTAATTTATTATTATAGGCATAAAAACGTTTATAATAAATGTTTTAACATAAATCAAAAACAGTTTTCTTAACTTTGTCAGCACGTTTAATCGCGTAATAAAGTAATATACTTTGGAAGCCTAACTATAATCTGTTATTAAAGATAATGTGAAGAACTGTTTATAATGTTAATTGCTAAATTATAGAATATAAGTTGCATATATTATTTTACATTTATGTGTAATAAAAAGTGGAGTAGAAATAATCATAAGTTGAAGAGTCTTTGAAACTTTTGACTTCACCTTAGCTTCTAGTACTTCAAGCCTACCATAGAGAAACTGGAATTTTCTTGTTTTATGTAGGTTTTAAGAGTTTATGCAATAATTATAATTAAACTAATATAAGAAACATTTTAAGGCATACCACAACAATGTTACTATGTAAAAAAAATCTGTTGATGATGTTAGGAAAATGGAAGTCAATATTACATAAGGTATTTTCTTTACTTGAACCAATATTGACCTTGAGTGACCATGGTCATTGAACTTGAAAAGTGAATGACCTTAAAGATATATTTATACACATATATACACAAGTAAATTTATACAAAAATTTTATTTTAACTGCTAGTATTGTTTTGTGCTATGTCCTTTATGCTAATTTGTTATACTTGCCTGTTAATCTTGAATGTGTGTGCGTGATATTAATGAATTGTAGTGTTATTAAGTATTTCAATGTATAATAACTTGTATCGCATTATTATTGTATACAGTAAAGATTGACATTTAAGAATATTAAATATTAGTCACATACAAATCTTATTGAATTTTGTAAAGAAGATTAAATAAATCGATTACAAAAGTTAATTAAAATCGTCAGGCTGTACATTAAATTGTATTAATTAACTAAGATCGTTTAAACGCGATGAAGAAACTTAATCCTATTGACCTGTATCTTTCCGAACATCTGAATTGTTAATATTTAAATTTTTTTGTTTAATAGCTTTGTTATAAATACTAATAAAAATACTAATTATGTAAACGAGTTACTTCATCTTCACCGTTTTGGATTTATCAACTATTACGTTTTTTTCTGTTTATGTAAGATAAGATACAGTACCTAGGATAATGCTATTTCATACATAATAATTCGAGCTTACAATTTTACGTAATTGTATTTACAGTACAATTATGAAAGTCATCGTGAAATCGTGGATCGAAAAGTGTAATTACTTTGAATTCGTTATAGACAGAATGATGTTCCTCTTAGTTTGTTTTAAAAACGTTTGATTTGTAATATTGCATTTTTAAGTTATATTTATGTTTATCTTAGGAACTACAGTGAAATTAGAAACACATGCATAAAAAGTAATATTTCATCATCGTTAAAGAAAAAAGTGATAGTTTGCTGAAGGAAGAATAAAATAAAGTATTCGCAAAGAACATTTGCTGAAGTGTAGACGATAAGATGGCCTACAGAGAAACTATACAACATAAACCTGGTCTTCTTAGAGAAGCTGGAATTCAAATTGGTTCGGGTGGTTTTGCAGGTTTTGTTGAAGCCTGCATAATGCATCCGATGGACCTTATCAAAACACGTTTCCAACTGCAGGTCAAAGTTACACAAAATGATGCTCTTTATTATACAGGCATTTATCATTAATTTGTATATATATATATACATATATCCTCTAGCGATTCAATATTTTTCTTGGAGGATTCTATTATTTCTTTGTAATTGTCTATAATCATTTTTTTTTTTGTTAAATATTCACATCACAGGAATTCGTGACTGTATGAAAAAAATGTACGCAAATGAAGGGCTCGCAGCATTTTGGAAAGGTATAATACCACCAGTTATAATGGAAACACCGAAAAGAGCTGTAAAAGTATGTAATCATATCGAATAAATATCATTCTACAAGTCTAAAATACAGACAAATGACTGCAATGAATATAAATTTCATTTAGAAGCAAGTAAAGTTTTAATAATTGAATAAATGTTTTTTCTAGTTTTTCTCCTTTGAACAATACAAGAAGTTATTTAGCAATTACTCTTCAAAGATGATGGTACGTACAATGTCAGAAATTGTTTTATAACGTATTACACAAAGAACACAACTGAATTGAATTTGAAAGAAATTTAAAATAAAAAAAAACTAGCGTCGAATTTACGTTTGTATGACATCGTTTTAGTCGTGCAATTCATAAAGTATGTTGATAACATTTTGTCCAGTACTCCAGAAGTAATTTATGTTACCGATATTAAAACAATATTCTCTTTTAGGTATTTTATTTTGCTGGCTTCTTAACAGGTGTAACAGAGGGCATTTTAGTAAACCCATTTGAAGTAGTTAAAGTACAAATGCAATCTGATCGTAAGCACATAAAACACAGTGCATCCACTTTTGCTGTGACCAAACGTATTCTTGTCCAGCAAGGGTTTGGATTAAACGGTCTCAATAAAGGTTTGTCCGCCACAGTAATGAGAAATGGTGTGTTCAATACATTCTACTTTGGCATTTATAACAGCCTTCTTCCGCAAGTGCACAAGCATAAGGAATATGCTCCAGAATTGTTTCTTAAGGTATATTTCACTATTGACTATGGAATACGGATCACGTAGTGTTTACTTAGATAAATAAAAAAAAAACCGTTTTATTCGTATATATTTATTTTGATTTGCAAACTAGCTCGTTGTATACATTTTATAAATATGAAGAAACAATTAATATATTTTGATTAAATGTTTGGCTAAAATGTGCTAATTCGCGAACTTAATATTAATTTGGTAAACACGTACTTTTTAGTTTATCATAGGTTTTACAGCAGGAACAGTGGCGTCCTGTATGAATATACCATTCGATGTTGCTAAGAGTCGCATTCAAGGACCTCAGAATGAAATCCAATACAAAGGGACCGTACGAACTATCTGTACAGTCTATCGCAGAGAAGGGTAAAATATACTATAAGGACTTTATTTGTAAACAAAAACTTCTAGTTTCATATCAGTTACTTTACCTTGATAATTACTTAATCAAATATCTGTTTTTAGTTACATCGGTGAGTAAATATTTTTCTTGTTTCAGATTTAGAGCCTTGTACAAAGGATTGCTACCAAAAATCTTGCGATTAGGACCGGGTGGTGCGATTATGCTTATAGTTTATGAACACATGAAAGCATATCTCAACGCGAAAGTTCCTATCTGATTGTAGTTCTGGAATAACACAGACTGATTATGTGCATTTATTTACCAACATCGAAGAATTTTTTAGAAAAATTGCTTTTTATAGCCAAACGGAATTTATATTTCTGAATAGTAACGCTACTGAAAAGATTTTTGAAATATCCAGTAACGTGTTTCATACTGCAATTTTTTAGTAGTAGAAATTTATGTTTTTTATATTAATGGACTAATACACTTGCTTGTTGAATAACTGTTACTTTCCATACGGCTATCTTGCCTCCATTTACTTACAGTTAAAATATAAATTAATAAAAATTTTAAAATCAAAATATAATAATTACGCTTTATACCTTAATCATCTAACACAGAATCCAACCATTTCTCCAGATCTATAGATTTCACAGATACACCAGATTTAGTTGATTTCTTTGTATCTGTAAGAAGTACTGATTAAAATAATACGTACATGAGATTCGTCTTTTAAATGTACTTCTCAAATTTTTACCGGTATTAGATGACACGGATAATGATTTCACTGTCAGAGGTTCTTCCACAGGTTCTTTAAGTGATAGTAAAAAATCTAAATCTTCAGTCGTATCATCAATCGAGTCTCGACTTTCTTCTACATTTCTTACGTCGCTAACAACTTTTAATTTGTTTAGAATTTCATTATATTTTTGTTTACCCTGTTCTGCTTTATTATGAATGTCTGTTAACTGATCGTTCTAAAAATAATAGGTGATATTTTTATAGTAACAATCTTACTGTAATAGTAGAATTAATAAATTTATTCGGAATAATTTCAAAGAATTATTAAACTTACAGTAAAATACCTAGCATCAATATCAACAATCTCATTGAATGGAATTGTTTCTACTGCTGCAGACAATGTTTTCAAATCGAGCGTAAAGTACTCTGAATATTTAGACGTGTCAACACCAAACGTTTTTTCTGACGGTAGAACGAAGTAGTTATCTACAGAAACTGGAGCATTCATTAGAAAGTCAAAATCTTTTGCTACATTCTCTTCTGTGTCTATAATCTCCTCCAAATATTGCGTTTCGTTTTCATCTTCTTTCTTTTCTTTTTTTTTCTCCTTTAACTGTTTCTTCCTAATTTTATGTTATTACAATTATTATTGAATATATTTCATACAACAATTAATGAGGTTAAACAAAGTACCCTTCATAACAGTATTAAAAAACCCCACAATTTATAAAATTTTAATGGATACTTACAAAAATTTTAATTTTAAAACTTTTAATATTTTTATTAGACACTATACGTAAATAATTAAATTAACAATATATTAGTAACATTCTCTAAAAGTATAACGCATCTATATATGTGATAAAACAATTGTATTTAAAGATTGGAAAGATAAATATAAACCATCTAATATCTATAAATTTCAGTATGAAATATTTTATATAACTATAGAATTATAAAACTGTAAGTTAACTTTTAGATTAGTAAATTTACGTAAACCACTGTTGCATATAAAAATTACTGCAATCTTTTTATTCAATATAACTAATATAGTAAAAAATGTAGACATTTCAATGAAATTTTCAAATCTGATCTAAGAAGCTTCTTTAAGTTGCTGTTTAATATTTTCACTAATTTAACAGAAAAGGTATTATTATACGCTAAACAATAACTTCACTAACCTTGCCTGACTCTTTTTATTAGGCATTTTCTACACTTCTTCATGAGACAACTCTGTACCTAACCTATACGAAGCTGAATGCACCACTATTTATATATATAGTAGGTACAATTTGTCCCTACCAAGTCTCAAAATTTCTCTATGTCTGTTTAGTAACATGACAAGTTAAAAATAATCACTGTAATATAATATTGTAAGAGAATTGATCAATTTATATACTATAAAAACATATATATATATATAAATAACAAAAAGAATAACTAAAGTTACGAATTTAGAAAAATAAATTATATCTTCGAAGTTAGTAACTTTGACTATACATATTGAATATGATAACAAAAACAATCAAAATTTATAACTTAGAATCAGATACTGATTCTTTTGGTGATTGAATACTGGAACTAATATTACTGTCTGAACGAGACTGTTGCTTTTCGTCAAAATATTCCGATGATTCTGCTTCTACGCTATATTCAAATGTGTCTTCCGTTTCTTCTTCCACACATTTACAAATTTTCGAGGATTCAATGAGCCCCAGATCTCCTTCCGAGTAACGACAGCTAATATTTTCAATCTATAAAACACGAAAATATATAATTGCTCGTATTTAAATAGAAGTGGATAAAATTAAGTAGAAAGACGTAAAAGGAAAATGCAGCTTTAAGGCTATTATAACATCTGACCTTCACATAAATACATAATTTTTAAATTGTGTTCATTAGATTGTATTCGTACAAAAATACTGAACGCGCACACAATACTCTCTCAGACCTCAATCTCCACCACTAAACTTCACGGATGAGGATTTCAGGCACTTAAATTTTACTTATATTTAATATGGCTTAAACTTTATGCCAAATAACGATTTTCATAAATTAATCTTATAAATGCGAACAGTTTCATATTTTAATACTAATAACACTTTTATATGTTATACAATAACAATGTACCTGTGATGCAGAATGTTCTAAAACATCGATAATATTGTTGTCTCCCAATATTTCCCAAAGACATTGAAGGAACTGCTCTTTCAGATGCGATGCACAACAATCTTCATTTGAAATATCGCCTTCGAGCTGTGAGAATACCACCATTTATTACAAAAAATGAAAATCAGACCATATGATTTAATTGAAAGAAAACTGTTAATTTCCCTTTTTGAAAATTAGTCTATAAATGATTTACATAAAAATCTGCCTATTATATACTGAAAGTTAGGAGATTTTTAACGTTTAAGTAGCAAACAAATATAGAAACAACAAAGAGATCTGTTAAAAATATCCTTCACCTCTAGAAGTTCCTTAACGCAGCTTTTTACACGATGGAAAAGATGTTTAAGTGCCTCTAATTCTTTATCTTTCTCATGAACTTGCACTAACAATTCTTCTTTGTCAGTTCTCGCCTTTAGTATACGTTTCTTTAAAAACTGAATTTTCTGTTCCATTCGCTGACAATTTTTTTTGTAAATTTCAACATTCGATTCCAATATGGCGATTCGAGCACTGTCACTTTTCACTTTTCCATAATACAATAACATTGACTGGAAGTCCTACAATAATTCAATATTCTTCATTTTGTATTTTCAAGTACAATCTCCAGAATTCAGACACCTTACATTTGCCAATTTGTGAATAGCGTCTCTCTGTTTCATTGCCATTCTTAACGTAATTTTTGATTCCGTTTCAAATAACTCGCATTGCAACCTCAGTGTACGCTCTTTGTCCTTGCTTTCCTTGCTGGTAACTTCGAGTTCCTTGCATGTCTTCACTAGTTCGTCAAGTTCTAGATTCATAGCCACGTTTTCTCTAATTGCCCTGTTTGTGGCCTCTGCTACCCTCAAATTTGTTGCTTTGCGAAGAGACACAGCTAATGTTCTTAAACGTTCCTCCATTTCTTTCTTCATCCTTTTATTAAAAAGTCTAATTGTATATATATCGGACACATGTGCGGCAATTTCTATTTTAGATGACAAAAAGGAAAGAATTGTAATTCCCACAAAACACATACATTGCTTTTCCAATGACTACCGATTTCTCTGCTTCATAAAGCTCCTCCTGATGCCTCTTTTCTTGTTCCGCGATTTCTTTCTCTTGAACCTCAAACTTCTGCATCAGATCCAACCGTGCCAGACGCCAATCTTCCAACGCGTTGAGTTTACCAGCTATTTGAAAAAATGGTTCACATGAATGAACGAATGAGAATTTGCAAAATGAAGATCAAAAAAAATCCTGACCTAATATTTTATTTAAATATCGGCTCAAGAAAGAATAAATGATACAGAATGAAAGCAACAAATTGCAAAAAAAAAAGGGAGAAAAGTATAAATTTTTTTAAACGACAAATAAAATTCCCAAGGAAGTATGTACTTCACTTCACTTATTAATTTCACTTCTGCGCTTAAGTTGTTCTCCATAGTGCGATATTCGAGTTCCATCGACTCTTCCTTCTTCTTGTAAGCAGCCAGTTCCTCTTTTCGCAGATCTTCAAGAGCTGAGAGACGTTCCATAAGTTCCTTCGACTCCTCTATCCTCTCCTCCAAGTTTCTTTTCAGGTGTGCAATTACGTCTGACCGATCCTCTTCCAGCTGTCGAAATTTCTCCTTCATTTGCTCCGATTCCAGCTCCAATTCCTCATTTCGTGTCCTTAGTCTAACTTGCGAAGAATTATTTAATGTAGTTTCCAAAATTCGTTTTGACCTTGATGTTCAAGGTCACATTGTATTCTTAAATTTTTAGATAATTTACACGATGAAAACGTTATAAATTCAAAAGAAATCAATGCATAAGTATCAGTTTTTAATAGAAATATATTAAACAAGAAATCTAATGTTATAAAAATTATTTGTACTGCACTTATTTTTTATTAAGAAAATGATTAAGTTTCTTGTAACATCTGTCTCTATCTGAGTGGGTATATACATCATCAGTTATTTTGGTATCAAGCAGTAGAAAACTGTACCAAATTATATATATATATATATACCGTGCCAATTGTCTGTTGTTATCCAAAATCTCCTGTTCATAAGACAGAGTCTCCTTTTCGTCCACACATTTCCTTTTCACTTTCTTCTTTCCACCTTTGCGCTTCTTCCTTTTGGCCTTCAGCATTTTAACCGATTAAATCCAAAATATTATTGCACTAAGGGTTTGAATTTTTCCACGGGTGCACCGAGAAACGGTGTGAATATAATCTCCGTTTGGTCAATAATTTATGGTTCCATGGCGACGAAAAGACTTCGACCATCGGTTTCTCAAAATAACAGAATTTCCCAATAAATCCTTTTGAAAACATTTTCTAATATACTTAACGAAATTTTCAGCAGTCATCGGGTACATTTAAATAAAGTTACTAGGTGCGCTTAATTGACTTTGACCTTGTGAAGGTCATCTTAAGAAGTAGATAGATTCAACAAGTTGTAATTAACTTGTTTTAACATTTTTTAGAAAGCCACAATTTTATGGATCTAGACTAGACCTTAGTCTGGGCCAGATTTGATTCCTTAATATGATAATGTAACAAACTTATAGAATTAGTTATCACACTAACGCGACTAACCATTTCTACGTTCCAAAAAGTTGCAAACTTTAGACTCATTACAACCATAACGATAACGATCCTGAGACACTTTTAAAATTACGATAGTAATTTCAAGTACAACAGTACAATTATAATTTTAAATCTATTCGAGTGGGTTTTCCGATCAAATTAATGAACGAACCTTATCTCGATACTATCTACTTATGAATACACTTAAGCTGTGTTACAAATATGTATATATATGTATATATTTTTTTTTCCAAATCATTTATACATATACACATAAAGAGTATCAAACTTAAAACTTAAAAATGTAATGAAAATTAAAAGTGTAAATATTCCGAAATTAAAAAACTAAAATAGTTCGCGAAAGAATGAAATAAACAGGTAGGTACCTTGTGGTTTTGAAACAATTCAGATCGAGAAATCTTTCAGTTTCCCGTATCTCCTTCAACGTTCGAAACTGACATACAAGTATCGGGCCAAAAATAAATTACAAAAACTTGTATCCTCTCGAAATGAAAATCTTTCGAAAATGTCCAGATGCAACTTAACAATAAATAAGTTTTAACGAACGATGTCAAATAAATACAGACTACTCACGCACGGATCAGCACACGCTCTCACCACACCGTGGACAATCTTACAAGTACGAAATTTCCTTAAAAAAAAAAGAAAAAAAAATTCGAGACGATCTTGTGCGAATGAGGTGGTTCAATGAAAACAACATGTCGGTATGCACGCACGTGCGTGTATTTACGAACCATCAGTAACAAACTTGACTTTCATCTAAAAGAGGCGAATGGACTCAAAGAAAAAAAAAAGAAAAAAAAGGAGGAAAGGAAAATAGTAAAGAACTAATTAATTCTATGAGGAGGTGGTGGCTGCGGCCTGCGGAAGTAAATAATTAAACTGAGCATGCCCGTGAGTAGTCCTATAAGATACAAGTCCCAGTTCTGGCCCAACAGCTGATCCCATTTATTCAGATGATCAACAAGACTGAATTCCTGTAGATATTCCAAACCAAACAGGAAGGAGAGTTTCACGAGCGCCAGGGCCACCGGAATCTTCGCATCCGGACTAGCCTCCGCTGCAAGATCGTAACACCGTTTGGCCAAATGTCGATCCCTCGACAATCCCAGACCGCGTTCATGCATATACCCAAGGTTGAACATAGCCTGTGCATTCGTTTCTTGCTCAGAAGCTGATCTATAGTGACTAGCTGCAGCTTCGTAATCAACTTTTGTTCCTCTGCCGTAGTAGTGGGCGTCGCCCAACTTAACCTAAAACAAGTTAGAGGTTAGTTATCGTTATGCTCCAAAAAACATAATATTCCCGAAGTACACGAGCTTTTAAAGTGTTCACACCTGAGCGGCAGAGTATCCTTGTGCAGCGGCCCTGGCCCACAAAGAAAGCGCCCTAACCAGTCCTTCTTCTTCGGACAATATTGTAGTCTCCCCTTTGTCGAGTATAAAAGCGGCGTTACTCTGCGCGACCTCATAGCCCATTTCTGCGAGGAGGGCGTAGTTCACGAAAGCTTCGTTGATTCTACCTTCCCTGTAATCCGTATGGGCAACCATCAATTGATCGCTCCATTTGCCTCGTTCGGCAACTTTCTTCAAGAGTTCAACTGCTGCTGGACAACTGCGGGCCATTCCAGTGCCAGTGGCGTGCATCTGGGCCAGGTTATAAAGCGCCAAAATATGGCCAGATCGACTAGCCAAACTGAAGTACATGTTAGCTAATTTGTAATCGGGCTTCACCCCTGTTCCACCTGTTCAAATATCATTCGATTAATTCCAATAATCGTATGTAAGTATGAAAGTTAAATAATAGAGAATGGGCCATAAGATGCTTGACAAAAATGCCCTTCCGAAAGTATTTCTTTGTTCCCTCTTCTATTTCTTTATCGCAAACAGACAGTCATGTACAATGTGAAAATATGTTGTCTACTAACCTACAATATGTACTCCATTTGCAATGTAACGATTGCATCTTCGCGATACAGAAACACAAATGTTATTGTAAATGTTCTGGGAGGTTTCGAATTCAAACTCAATACGGTCTTTTAATGTTAATAAAATTAATGAACTCTATTTTTCATTAGAAGTGAATAACTGTTAGTGTCGAGGGACTTATTGCCCATCCTGTGTTTGAGAAATCTAGGAAGTACTTACTAAAATACATATTGCCAAGCTGAAGCTGTCCGTCAACCCACCCCTGTTCCGCAGCTTGCTTGAAATACTGAAGAGCTTTCGCAGTGTCCCTTTCAACCCCCCTACCGTAAAGATATATAAGACCTAAACCACTTTGTCCAACAGCATTCCCAAGCTCAGCAGCCTTTTTGAAGTATTTATATGCTGTTTTGTTATCCTGTTCCACCATGTCGCTACCCTCTAAGTAAATCTAGAATTCACGAATACGTTATCGAACGTAATATATTTATATTCTCACGAGGTGATTTTATTTACCTTTCCCAAATAAGCCATTGCAATCGAATGTCCAGCATCAGCAGCGTGTTGAAAATAATGCATAGCTCTGACGTGGTCTAATGGGACACCCCTGGCACCCTGATAATGCAGCTGTCCCAATGCGACTTGAGCCTCTATATCTCCATTCTTCGCTAGCAACTGGTAATATTCTATTAAATCCTGATCGAAAATTCCCGAGTTATATCCAGGATTCTCCTGTTCATCCAGAAGTCGGACTCGTTGAATAACTGGTCCGCCACTAAACGAAACCCCTTCTGCAACCTTGTTCGCGACGTTACGATAAAAATCTAAAGCTCTTTCACAAGAAGCCGGTGTTGTGACACCAGCCCAATGACGATAACCAAGGGCCATTTGTGCACGCGTGTCTCCGCCAAGCGCTGCGATTGTATAATGTAGAAGTGCCTTAGCTTGCGAGGCATTCACTCCACCTAACCCTGTCGCGTATAAGAATCCCATGCCCTAAAAGAGATTTGTACGTCAACAGTTTGGTAAGGTACATTTTATTATTAGCTAACATTAAATGCATTGATTGTATCATTACTGTTATAATTTTTGCAATGTTCGTATTTCCACCTTGTATTTGAGTTATTAAAGATCTATGTACCATATGAGCAGATGGTAGTCCAGTTTCAGCAAGTTCTTTAAATGTTTGATAAGCGGCTGGAATGTCCTGACTAGATGTCCAAAAAGAGTTTGGACCAAATTGCAACCCGAGTAACTGGGCCCACGCCAACATTGACCTGGCTTCACGATGACCAAGAATTGCCGCCGATGTTAATAGTCCATAAGCTTCTGCTTTATTAGAACGCGTTGCATTCAAGAGACGCTGTGCTTTCCTAAATATTTGCTCCGCTAGAAGTTCGATTGTAAAAGCGAAAGATTAAAATATCATTAGTTTTAATCAGATTTAATTCTACTTTTAGACAATTTTGATCTAACATGGTCTAGAAAAAAGTTAAATTCTCTTTTTTGCACGTTCCGTTTAGATCTCACGCAAGAAGAATACCTTCTTGTTGCTCCGGTGTAAGTATTTCCTGTATCTCTTCACTCAAAGATTCAAGTTGCTCCATCTCGTTCCATGTCTCTGCATCCTCTTCCTCCAATCTTAAATTACTATTTGGTAAATCTATATCCGTGGTCTGTGCTATCATTGTCTTCATCCAAACATTTCTCATTGCAGAACCTTCTTCCTTAGTTTTCAGCTCGCCATCCACTTCCTCTTTCCTTTTTGTGATCTTCTCACTGAGATATGGTTCGTTCGATGATGCCATCCTTCGAATAGTATCATGGAAAGCCTTTAATTCGCGCAGATTTTTAAATGCATCTTCCAAACTAACATCTTCCTCTGCTTCTTCGTCAGAAGTTTCTGATTGTTTTTTGGGAACTTCTGGCTCGGATGCCACAGACATAACCAATAAGAGTAACAATAACTCCTTCCTTAGTTTCATTTTATCAGTTTAATTTTTTTTCTACTTCTGCTGATGAACTGACCTTAACATAAACGGAAAATTATTTAATGTTTCTGACATGTTTCCGTTTCTGCTATAAATATTGTATCAACATATTAAATAACTGAAGAATTTGTGGAATATTCTATTACAATGACTAAAGATCTCAAACAATGAATGTATTATTGTTTCAAAACATTTTTACAGTTTAATTACAACTGATGAAGCATACATTTGGCACAATAAACAATTACAATAATTCATTGTATATAATAATATATTAATTAGCCATTTTTTTTTAGAATCGATTAACTACATTATAAAAATATTACAATATAATGCAAAGATCACTAATACTATCAGTGCAAAACAAATATATACAATATCAAGTATATAGTTACAGTAAAACATATCACTTGATCAATTGGTTTAGTGAAATTATCCAACAAATGAGAAGTTGTAAAAAGAAGTGAGAAACAGAAATAAAATGCAAATTAAAAACTCTAAATTGTAATTATACTTTTAAAAATGTTATAAACGTTACAAATAACCCGACGCGTTTGACACATCAACATTGCACACGGTAATTACAGAAATATCATATTCTTTGTGTTCTCTAACCTAAATTTGTACTCACGTAACGTGAACAAATAAAAAAGAATTGCTGGAACATGGAAACGGACGTCGGTTTCCTTACTTTTAGGTCGAACAGCTTGACGAGAAACTCCTTGAAGTCATTTTGCGGTATGTTTCTCGTGATTTCGAACTTTCGTTGAAGACAACGTTACGTCATTGAGACACGTCAACGCACATCTTCGGTTATCACGCTAATGATTTCACGTTATCACCACAGACAATACTGTTTTTTTTTTTACATTTTAATGCAATACTGTATCAGGGTTTTCTTTAACAGTTAAACGTTGAAGGACATTGCCTGGTTAACTATCGACGAATCAGCTGTTTCACGAATGTTTGTTTTCAAAAATCCTTAGTGCTGTTACACTCTTCGCGTTGAATAACTGAAGTTGGCTGCAAATTACACGAATACGAATTAAGTACTTTATATTTCATCAACCGTAAATACAGATGCCCACGTGCAGAGGAATTCAACCTTACTGTTAATAATGCGCCGTAATTTCTGTACGCGTAAACATGTATTCTTATCCATGGGTAACATAACCTCTAAATAATCAACATATGTATATATATGTATATATATATTAATTTACTTATGACATTTGTACGATGAAAGTATTTCGAAGTAGATTATTTATTGCATTGAATAGAGGCAGACGGATATTTTTAGATAAATATCACATAACTTTATTTATCACTTGACAGCTATAATCAATTCTTGTGACACATTCATTGTTGCCAATACGCCACGTATAAGTACTGCAATTGTCACCGCGGTAAACCTTTAAATAACAGTAAAGAATAAAAATAAATACAGGATAACATATACAATGGGAGAACAAGGGAATTCTCTACGATCAAGACAAGTGCTTTTTGCATGAAATTTAATGCAAAATGTACAATATGATATTTATAAACAATACTCCGCATATTAATTGCTTTATCATTGTTATAAAATATGCTTTCAAATAAGGCATTTCGCTCTACAGCTACTCAATTTCACTAGAAAACGAAGGTGTTCTCAACTTTATCAACAATTGAAGCGGTGAAACCTATAGATTATATATAAACATATATGTAAATAAATACTTTGTTCTTTGTTTACAATTGTACTTGTGTATAACTTAATGTTTCATTACAAATACTTCAGTGAAACACAATTTCGAATAATCCCTGAGACTTTAATAAGAAGTCCTTGAATTGAAAATATTTAATCGACAGTCTGTTTAGCGGGTTAAATTTCTTATTTAAATTTTTTTTACGATGTATTTATTGCTCTTGTAAGTAATTTCATATAGTACATAGAATACTTCTGAACTTTGCAAATAATTAAAATGACTTTATATTCGTTACAATATTCATGGAAACACATTTCGTCAGCACCAATTTGGCGTCTGTTATTTATATTAATTAAAGAACAACATATCTCTTTGTGTATCAATACATATACGTATATAGTTTAAATTTTGAGATATTTAAAAAAAATGGTGGATTTACAAGGAAAGGAGAAAGGAAATATATCCTTGCCATTGGAATTACAATCTTACGAAAATGAACAGGAAAGGAACAAACCGATAATTATTAATATGCAAAAAGCTTTTTATAATGTTAAAATTTCGGACATTGAAAATAGAATAAACAGGTTAAAAAGAAAATTGTATTTTATCAATTGTTAAAAGAAGAAAATTATTCACAGGTTTTTCTGTATACTGTTTATAGGAATATTTATGTTTTGTAACAAAATCAGTAAAACTTTAAACAAATTTTAGGTATATTACAAATATATATTAAAGGGCATTTTCAGGTTGAAAGATCGAAATGATGAATTATCAGAAGAAATTGAAACTACAGATGACCTTATATTTGCAGCAGATACAGAAACAGCAGATGAAATTGCAAATCTAACTAAACTAGTCAAATCACAGAATAATAGGATAGAAACTTTGAAAAATCAAATTAATACACTAGAAAATAATCGAATACAAGATAAAGAAACACATGAAAATAATGTAGAATTATTCAAGCACAAATATTTGGAAAAGAAAGTAGAACTAGTTTCTCAAATAAAAGTCTTAAGTAACTAATAACAAAGCTTTTATTTCTTTCCAGTCTTTTTGTTTCTGCTGAAAATATGTGAGGTAATTTTTTTAGATGCAAAAATTAATGTTCTGGAGGAATTTAAAAAGAGGCAAAGCGCTTTAGAAGAAAAGTTAGAGGCAAATAAACAACGAATGATAGAGTACGAGAAAGAAGTGAAAGAAATTTTGGAGAACATTAGACGAAAGTTTGAATTCGATAAAGAAATGTATCATATTAGTTTTTATCGTACATACTTAAAAGTTACTTGTTTCATACTGAAATAAGAAAACTTTGTTACACTGATAAAATAGTTACAAAAGTCTTTTCAATCTAGGCTCAAGAATGAACTGTATAGTCATCTTCTTGATTTAGCATCACATTTTCAGATTGAAACTAACAAGTTCATAAGTTCTCCAAATAAAAGACTAATGAGAGAAAATGTTATGTTGGAAAAGGATTTATTACAATTTTCTAAAGAAGTTTCTATAAAAAGAAACGTTCAAACTGATTGCAAGTAATGGTTTATAATATTTTATACTCCTCTATGACTACTACACTTAACATTACTATACTATTCCATATTTAATCATTCAGTTTGATCCTTCTTGTCTACATAAGAAACACATTTACTTTTTTTTCCTAATTGTATCTTGTAGAAACACAACTGTGGGACATGAGAAAAACATCAGTGAGCAATGTTCAAACATAAAACGTAACATAGTAACTACAAAAATCCATAATTCAGTGTTGAAAAAGTTACAAAACAAATACAATGAAATGAAGGAACGTTTGTCCATTATGAATATCCCCGATTCTGAAACAGAAAATAAACAGCGGCTAGCAATAGAAAATGCTAAAACAGAGGAATGCATTACCAGGTTACGTTTATCAAAAATGCAAACTTTACTGCACAAAGAGAACACAAAAATAGGTATTGCAAAGTATTTAGACAGGAGAGTAGAATGTAAAATAAAGGCCATTGTAGAGGCACTGTATGATGTAAAGTATATTGTATCGTGCTTGCTCAAGGTATTCTAAATAGACATTATGCTATGTTAAAATTTGTATTTCAAGTTAAATTCCATTTCGATCTTATATAACATAAATCTAAAATCGAAACAGCATCCCCCCACAACTGAATCAAGTTATGTTAAATTGCTCCTACTTTTGCGACATAGAATTTCCAAAGGGCAGTCGAAACTTCGTTGCAGCACTGTTAAATCGTTAGTAGCAATACAAATGATATACATGTGTGTAAGTTTTGCTCCTATGCTGGTAAATAATTTATATGCATAAATTTAGGGTTGAAAGTGTCCTACGAGAAACAGAGTGTCGCGCACAGGATTTAAAAGAAATTCCTGATGATATTGATTTAGAGACACTGAGCGAGTCTGAAGACACAAAACTGTCGTGCAGGGCAATTTTAGATGAAGTAAATGAAGTTTTATGAAATTGCTCAACTTCTATTAATATGCCTTGATTTTTAATTGTACCTTATTTAGAGAAAATCAAGTGGTGGAGAAGAAGGGGCAATCGAAATATCTGTGAAAAGTAGTACGTTCGATAATGAATTGAACGAAATTTTTGAAGACTCGATGTTATTCGATATTGAGGAACATGAATTTGTTAAAGAAGTCGAATACGTAGACGATGAAGAACTATTAAACGAAGCTAATGAAGAGTAAAGTTCACCAATTTTTATTTCCATTCATTATTATTTTACAGGACTTATGAGAAAGTGTGATTTCTTTTATATCATATAGGAAATATTGTCGTACATGTTTTATAAACGTTTTTGTTTAGAGATTTTCATACATTTTTTAATTCTACTTGGTTAAATAAATTACGTAGTGATTCAATTCATATGAATTATCTCGATTCAAATTTTGCATGTAATTAAGAAACATGGTGTAAATAATACAAATGCATCTATTCATAGAATTTATGAATTTCATACATACGCTTGCTATCATCAATTATATTTTGATAGAAATGTTATTTATTCTATGTACATACATGACTTCATGAAAATTACACATCTATACATCATTGTTGCACATTAGTCACATCAATCCTGTGATCTGGTTTTATAAATCGTTTCACTTTAGCCTTGTCTCGTTTCCTGAAGGAGAAATGTTTTAATTAAAATATTTCCATACGTTATTAATATTAATTCACAATTTATATATACATATTTTATACTTACAGTTTAAATACAGATGGAGCCACGATATTTCTCTGCTGAAAAGATTTGAATCTATCTTTCAGTAGATTACCTGCCGGTGTAGAATTCCTTAAATTTCCAGTTAATTCTTCCGATAATTTAAAATCAGGTTCTAAAGGCTCAAATTTCACTTTACTAAGGACTTTAGTACCCATTGCTTTCACAGCTTTATTTTTCAACCTTTTTTCCCGTAGCATTTTCTGTTTCTTTTCTTTCTTAGTCAACTGGTTATCCATCAATCTCAATTTGTAAATATCTGAAATTTTCTTCTTCTCTACTTTCTCTTTTTGAATCTGATGCGCTAACTCCTTTTGTTCTTTTTGTTTACGCCTCTGTACACGAGTTTTTTTCACATTTTGCACTGGAGGATTTACAGACTTCACTTCTGGATCACCATCATCATCATCGTCCATAGCATTTTGACCCTCCTCTAAATTTAAACCTTCTGACATTTCATTCATAAAGTTCTTTTCTTTTTGTTCTTGTGAAACCTACAAAAAGTAATTTGATAAATAACAGAACAAGTAATTCCATCGCCTGTTTAATACAAGAAGTGCAAACAAATGTAAAGGATATAATTTTTAATAGAAATGTAAAGAAAAGCACCTTCTTAAACATCCTTGTGGTAACTCTTTCCAGATGTTTTTCTTCCTTGATTAGCTCCATTTCTTTTTCTTTGACCTCTTGTAATAACTTCTGATGATCTTCGTACGAAGGATTATAAGACATTCCTGGATGCGGTGCTTCAATTGCTGGTATTACTGAAGGCTTTTTATGTAACGAGGTAGGTATTCGTTTCTTCTTTTCTCCAAAATGATACATTGTATGCCTTAGAGTATCCGAAGACATCCAATCAGGCTTCACTTCATTCTCAAGCTTCTTCTTCCATGCATCTTCCGTAAACTCACCCCTTTTCGGTTTGCTTAAGAGCAGCCTCTTTTGTTCAGCGATACTCCTATTCTTTAACCTCAGTCTTTCTTTCAATTTCAAAATACCCTGAGCCTTTCTGAGAGCTTCCTTTTTACGGAGAATAGGATTCATTCTCTCTTCCTTCGATCTCACGCGATTTCGCTTCGTTATTGGATCCGGTACTGATGAATGATGCTTCAAAATGTTGAAACATCGTGGTTCCTTACACTGCAATAATTCACGGCGTGCTTTTTTTGAAAGAACCTCCGGCTTTGTAGAAACTACAAATAAATCGGAATTCTCGCGATTGGAAAAAGAACCTAACCTCTCCTCCAGCCGAGAGTCCTCCAAGAATTTGTTAACATCTTCTATGTCCACATTTTTACGCCACGATTTTTTGTTCTTCTTCGACACATTCCGTTTCTTCGGTTTGGTTTCAATCATTTTATTGCGAGTAATGTAGTACTTTAATTAAATACGCTACCTTTGCTTTCAAAGAAACGTGATTTTCATCACGACATTTGGGATTTTATTTATGTTTCTTGATTGGCGAATTGAAATCTGAAACTAAGCAGAATTCAGAGTGCTCTCTTTCACGATTCAAAACGTATCATATGAAAGAAGTTTAAGGATATTTGCAACATTATTAAACTTTCATTATTAAAATTTAAAATTACTTAATAATGACAATAGAGTCTGTGTAAATTTTCAGTGGAAAACTCGAATGCTTTCAGCAATAAATTCGTTTAAAACAGCTTCTACTGAAACAATTTCTTGTTTCAATTATTTATTTAAGATAATTTACTTTTAATATAAGAGAAAATCATTTGCCTAAATTATTTACAAAACAGATCTAACAAATGATTTTATTTTTAAATCCTATATATATAAATATTTATCGTTCAATGAAGACCCTGTGTACTATACACAATATTATCTTGGGAATATAATAATAATTATTATTATAACAATTATAGTTTATTATAATAATCTCTTGAATATAATTCACCGGTTCAATTTAAAATTCGCGGTTAATTTGCAAAATAGTCATTAGTCGATAGTTTAATTTAGTCGATGGTGCCCATCACTACCTAACACCATCACTACTCCATACGAATACGCCACAATATAATTTTCTCATTGGAAACCCGGCTTGTTCCCGTGACACACGTGTTGCGTTTGCGTGTACACACGCGCGCATCACCTGTGGTGCGGTCAGAAGGCTGGCCACAACACTAGAGAAAAAGTCGTACTTACCGATGGCTGTCATCGCTTTTTCTGACAGATGTTTTTACGTGCCCTATTACGCGAGTTTTGCCCTATCGGAACAGATTCCAGTGATAATCCATCCTTCGTACCTTCTGTGAACGGAATCACGTCGCGATAAACCGAGCCACGACGCGTACCGTGACCGTTTCAGTTTTAAAGGGGTGCGTCATCGGAATTCCAAGGATCACGATCGCACGAAAAGATCATCGACGGGACCGCGAGCGTGATAGAAGAAAGAATAAAAGAACCGTGGACGGGAACACGTGAAATCGAGAGGGACTGAAAACAAAGGGTATGGCGAAGACATACGATTATTTGTTCAAGTTGTTGCTGATTGGTGACTCAGGGGTCGGCAAGACGTGCGTCCTCTTCAGGTTCTCTGAAGATGCTTTCAATACGACTTTCATCTCAACCATTGGTAAGTAGCAACCCCTTTTTTTTTCTTCTCTTTCTTCATCGTTTTCATTCCCCTTTATTTTCATACTCTCTTTACTCTTAATTAGTTGATTTCGAAAGAGCACACTTTCGTACTGTTCACTAGAATTTCCGAGCCAGTTTTAGATTATCTGTAAAATATGAATGTGTAGATAAAAGTTTGTTAACCAAATCCGAGTACCTACCTTTTAAGTCAGGCTTTTTATTTTTCTACTCTTTTCTATATAGTTAATTAATTGACTTCTACAAAGCACACTTGGATCTCATAGTATGATTTCTTTTTTTTTTCGCTAATATTTTAGATGATTTACAGTATCTGAATGCACAGATGAAAGTTGATAATCTAGTAGTTGTGTATTTTTGTGTAAGTGATTAAAAATACAGAAGCATACAACCTGTTACATTTTTTAGACTTTGACCTACTGGGAGGACTTTATAGTTTGAACATGTTTAGTAATCTCTGGCTGTTTTAATATGTCATTCTTTTAATTGCAATAATTAGACCCTGGATTTTATGTAATTGTAGCATGATTGGTTTAAATTCTGTACAGTTCAATGTTTAATGGTGTTTAATGAAGTTTTCATTGAATTCTTAATATGTAAATGTATTCAGAAAAATCTCTGCATAAAAATACGTAGTCTATTAATAGGACAATAGAATTTCATGTATCAAAATGAAATATTTTCCTTATATAGCTTGTACATTATCATTTAAACAACCACATTTTATTGTCCTTTTTCATTTTTAAACTTCAATTGTAAATGTATAAAACGATTTATTTTATTAGAAATTTGCATGCTTTAATTTATTATTTTTTTTTATTTCACAAAATTATTGATTCATATACCATTGTGTTTATTTATAGTGTGTACTTATACATAAAAAAACATTTGAATGTCTTCCAATACCCTAAATAATGCTATTGATGTATCTTTTAATAATTTGAAGCATCTAATATTGCTTAGATATCTCTGTTATTTTATGTAAGGCTGTCTGTCCATTAATTAAAATTAACAGGGACTTTTGCTCTTACAAATGTTGAATAATGTATACAAACGAAGTGACAATTATGACTAAATATGCGTAGATGCATACGTTTATCTATGTAATTATCTGTTGTAATTAGACAACTTATTTACACAAATTCACATTTTTATAAGACTAATTTACATAAACAAGAATCATCACAAAAAGTTTGTGATAAGTTTTATGTAAAGCTTAGAAAATCTTTATTAATAATTTATTAATTAAACATAGATAATAAAGACAGAATAATATAAAATAATAGAAACCTTCGTGAAATATTAAATGGTGAAGAAGAATTAATTAAAATTTACTAATGTAACAAATATACAGAATTAAATGTAAATTATAATCTTTCTTTATTCCTTAATTCAGATGTTACATTAAGAGAGCAATTCAATTAAACAGTATGATTGATTTTATTTATGCTCTTTTGGTAGGAATATTGTTTATACTGTTTTTTTTTAACTTTATATGGAAAGTATATCAAGAATTTTGTTAAATAATTCGTAACATTAAGTAAATCGCTGTTCATATTTTGTTATGTTCAGAGTTAACATTTATCAACGGCATAACAAATATTAATTGCTCAGTTGCAGCATCTAATTGTATTGTATATTTAAGTTACAAGCTTGCTTCTTGTTTCCAGGAATTGATTTTAAAATAAGAACAATAGAATTAGACGGCAAGAAAATAAAATTACAAATATGGTAAGTATTGAATATTCTGATATAGACGTTACACTTAAAAGTAGTAGACAATGTTTTTAGAAGTAGTCTTAGTTTTGAGAAAAGAATATTATAATAATACTATACATAATTTGAAATAGTAGAAGTAATAAAGAAACAGATAAAATACTTAACCATTAGTAACTTTTGTATTGCAGAACTTTTTACTTGTTCTGATGTTACAAAACCGAGTAGTTTCAGTAATCCACAGACGTATATTGAAAACTGCTACGCGCATTGTCACATATTTATGTATTTGTTATTGTTTCAAAGGGATACAGCGGGCCAAGAAAGGTTTCGTACAATAACTACTGCATATTATCGTGGTGCAATGGGGATAATGTTAGTTTACGATGTGACCAACGAGAAGAGTTTTGAGAACATAAAAAACTGGATTAGAAACATTGAAGAAAATGCCTCGGCTGACGTCGAGAAGATGTTATTGGGCAATAAGTGTGAACTCACAGAAAAACGGCAAGTCTCAAAGGAACGGGGAGAACAACTAGCTGTCGAGTATGGTATTAAATTCATGGAAACCTCCGCTAAGTCCAGCATTAACGTCGAAGAGGCATTTTACACCCTTGCACGAGACATTAAAGCCAAAATGGAAAAGAAACTGGTAAATACATTTCCAATGTGCAATATTATTCTTTATATTCTTTTTACTTAAATGACTGAAGTACGTTTTGGAAAATAAACAACTCAAATCCCTAATAATATAGGGAAAATAAGATTTTGAAAATTGGAGCTCTTTAAATTAAAAATAGAAGGAGCTAATTAGAATGAAATTAATACTTTAAATAAATCGAAGACGAGGATAAGTCAGAAACATCATTGTTAGCCTTCCAGTGGTAGTAGTTGTATAAAAAATAAATATCAATTTTTAAGTATCAGATGTTAAGCTGCATGTTTGTTCTAAGTTTTACTGTTAATGCTCTAAACTTCTTTAATAATGTTTCTAGTATTGAAAAAAATGAATTTTCATGGAGGAAAAGTGAAAAATGAATGAAATTTTCGATTTATACGTAGAATCTATTCTTTAAGATAGTTAAAATTTAACTATGTACGGCGTATCTTAAAATAAGGCATGGTAACGTTAGGTTCAAAATTACTTTCTTCTTTTTTGTCTGTTCTTATCCTTTTTGTCTCTTTTGCTGCAACATTACTACAAATTTTTACAAGAAGTATAGTTATAGATTGTATGAGAAATGCAAGTACATCGTTCTAATCTTTAATGTAAACAGAACTGTCAACAGCAAACATGTTGGGTGTAATCAATATTAAACACACATACGTACAAATGTTTAGGTGTGGCCTATGTGAAAATAGAGTAGGTGTGTTAACGGACACCATATTTTTTTTTTTTGCATTCTTCAAGAAACTAAATATTTCGTATTATATCTAACTTTTTACATGACGTTTTCATATTGCTGGAAGGCTAAAAAGAGCAGTTATAAAATTTGTCGCAATAGTCTGTCTCAGTGGTAAATCTGGAATTCGATTTTATCACTTAAAACTGACATAATAATCAATTTTCATCTAGATGTAATTTAGTTGCTTTTACAGATTTGTTATAGCAAATAGTCTTACATTAATTAACCATAATTTCTGTTTCCTGTGTCTGTTTCTCTCTGTTTGGTGCTGGTCGGTCTCTGCAGAAGGTAATGTATCGAGTTATATGAAATTATCTCTTTCCTGTTACTAATTGATAAATAATTTGTTATTAACATATTATAACTAACTAATACATTATACTTCGTTTTATTAAATATATTTTAATAAAGTGAGAGCAATAATCATATTGAGAAACTTTGATAAATTATCCATCAAAATACTTTTCAAATACTATAATGAAGTACTGTTTTTTAGAGTTCATAATACAATCTTTTCTTTATGTTTAATTGTTCTTCTATTGACTGATATAATGTCCAATACCAGTACATTATGTAATATTTTTTCTAACTTTCTGCTTGACTTGTCTTACATAACCACATGTATGTTAAATGTTTATACGTCTTACATACATGTACGCACTAATATCAGAAACATCCTAAATGTTGCTCTTAACAACTACTTATTATTTCAACAAATTACTTCTGCTTTCTCTTACTTCTCTTAATATCATTCTGGAAAAGTAACCTTTGCCCTTATCAAAAGAGAAGGACTGTCTGTAATCATCCTGTGATTGCTCTTTTTACAGGGTGACTCATAGGAAAGCAGAATACCTTGATATTTCTTATGGATTTGTGACTGTACTTATATAAGACAAGAACTATACAGTTCTAATGTGTTTCATTTCCCATTTATTCTTTGGAGCACACTTAGCGACCCACTAATGTACAGAGTAGGCCAGGAAAGGAAGTTATTCTACATTTTAAATATATTTTTGCACGTAGAATTCTTCTCAGTTTAACCAACTATCCTGGCCCATTCTGTATTATAAGCTTTCATGACATAAACGTCATTTTTTCTTTGCATCTTCTGTATTATCAAATCCTACAGAGATATTTAAGTGATTCTGTTGTCTCGATCTGTACAGCGAACAAAAGAGTATGACATGTTAAGTTGTTTCGTTGTTTTTTCTTTTTTTTTTAATATATCAATGATATTGGTTGTTATGGTTGCTTGGTGATGCGTTATTGGGGAGGAATGAGGGAAATGTTAAATGGTGAAATTGTATTGGAACAGGAGGCGTCAAATCCACCGAAGGGGGGAGGACATCAGTTGAAAGCATCCGAGCCACAGAGGAAGCCACCAAGTTGGCTCGCACGATGCTCTACGCTCTGACCCTTTGGCGAACTTAACCTTGACCGTCACCCTCTACTCTTCACCTTCGGTCTCCTTCGCTCGCTTCACGACGCGAGTACTTCTGTGATTTTACTCCTTGATGGCCACCTTCGTTTTCCTCCGTCGCTGCCGGTCTCTCTTTTTTACTGAATTACTCTTAGGGGCTATTTTTATCCCGGAGGAGAAACTCAAATTTCCTCTCACGCGAAAAAGGAAGAAAACATATTTAAGGATTCCCAAAAAGGAAACGATCGCGGATTGTGATAATTTTTGATAATTTTCTAACAGCGTCGAAGCGATTTCAAAACAGATAACCCGAAGACAGTAACACCGTACACATACCTTCCCCTTTGCCTAATTTTTTGCAAGACGCTGTCGTGACTATGTAGCATTGTAGATTTTATACGTTTATGGGACATATTTCGATACGTTAAATCCAATAAGTCAAAAACATCTGTAGTGTTCAATGGTTCTTTATTAAATGTTTACCATAAACAGTCTATTAAGGGGGATGAAAATACATTTTTGTGTAATTCGTGTTTTTAGACATTGATTTATGAAAGTTGAGAATTTGTATAACATCCACAGTTCAGTCATAATTAAATATCTTGAGTGCAGTTTGCTATGCAATTTAAGAATGCTATATGGTTAAGTGATCGAGTCATATAAATCTGCAGTCAAAGGGGATGAATTCTAACTATTCATATGATCAACGAATAATTTAGAATATAAATCAACGTTGAGTGATTTCTTTTATGAAGTAGCTGGTGAATTTTGAGAATTGCACGTTCGGTAGGAGTGTGTAGTTTCTGTTTTGTTTTTTTTAAAGAGAACTTGCAATCACAGAAGTTGTAAAATTATTTTCTGCAGAAAACAGTAAAGTCATGATTCTTTAGGTAATGTTAAGTATTTTGTGAAAGCAATAATTTAGAAAATTGTTTTTATGCATAATATGTAATCGAATTTTCTGCTTTTATTTACATGATGTTTTTAATGAATGATTCGATAGATGCACAAAGAAAGTGAAATTTAAATCGATAATATAATAGAAAGAAGGGATTGTGCTTACTTTCTATTACGCACTAGAAAGTTTCTCCTCCATTTTTCAAACGATCAAGGGGTAATGGTCGATATTTTTAACATATGTTTGTATTCGCTGTATTTAAACAAATTGAAAGGGAGAAAGTTTCTCTCGTTAATTGCAGAGAAATCATTTCCTTTTCACGATAGTTCGAAGGTATTTGTTTATAACAAAAAGAAGACATTAATTAATTAGCGCAAATTCAGGACTCAAAGAGACAGCTCTTGAGATTTTCTTTCACATTTTTTTTCCTGTTTCTATTGTTGAAGTAATTAAAAAAAAGAAAAAGGTGGAACACGGACTTCGTCTTCGTTTGAAACGCTTGTTGTAATAGTTTTTTGAGGAAACAGAGGGTTCTCTTTTTCTTTTATAAGAGAAAAAGGGATTCCGTTCTATTTCCACTTATACTTAAATATACGAGTATTATAATACATTTTATATTAATCCTATTCGTCTACTTTTATTGTTAAAACCCGCCTTTTCCTCATTCTTTAGGAACAAATAATTATTTTAATCATGACATTCGTTATTATCGTCATATTTTATAATTTCGTTGGTGTTGTGTTAATATTATTTCGATCTGCTATTGACGAAACATTATTTGTTAATTATGTCGTTTTCCATTGTAAAAGCTGCGTGAAACATGTTTCTTCCACCAATTTTTTTCAAACTTGACTTTTATGTTCAGGGAATCGCTTCAATTGAGTGTTCAATTAAATAAGTGTAACTATTTAATATTAATTAACCAGAAAAATAAACAGAAAGGGCAACGAATTAATAGCTACATATTTTTTAAAGCCTTACATCACTGAAACAATTAATGTTATTGTATATATAAAATTATTAATAATTTTTTAATCATTTTGTAATGAGCAATGTAACTTTATTTAAGAATATATTATCAAGTAAAACGATCCTATTACGTATCAAATGTACTGAGAAATTAAAATAAATGTTGATTATCGACAGACACTTCGAATTATTATTTTTCTTGGTTAACCATTCTATGCTGACTGTTGCACATGTATGTCAATTCCTGTAAAATTTTGTTTAAACTTTCCTCAATTAATGCGGAATCTTGCATCTTAGATTTCTGCTCCATCAACATTTCTGTCAACTAAAAGGAAATACAATTACCAATAATTATATAATTAAAAAATGAAAATTTCTCTCATCAATTAATGTATGTTTATGCTATAATTGTATTCATTTCTTTTATTTTTTTATTTGAAAGGATAACGAAAAAAAATACAATGTATACCTTGAAGCATAAATTTTCTATTTCCGGATGCAATTTCTCGTTAAGTGATAATGATTTCGACTCATTCATCGAGATGGCAATTAATTTCTTCCGTAGATTCTTGATCTCAGCTTTGTTTCTTTCGTTTATTCCGTGAAAAGCGAGTCCAAACGTTTGTAGTCGTTTATTTAAGTACATTACAGCTTTAGCATTTTCTAACAAAAGTTTTTGTTCCTTTGAGATTTTAGTGATATTCCTTAAATGTAACAAGAAACAATAAATAATAGTACTATGTATAAATTGAAAATAAAATTTGGTATAATGTAAAAAAGTTCAAAATCATGGTAACATTGTATTATGTCATAAAGATTTAAATAGTAGATCATTGACTCTAACAGTCTGTGTTAAAATTTGAACATTAATTAATTTAATTTAATGTAAACATTATCCCACATGTCAATGTTTGCAATAATTCCCTCATTGTCATTTTTGAATTCAAATAATGCTCGTTCTAGTTCCTCTTTCCGTCGCGTTTCCCGTTGCAGCGCCTTTTCTAACCCCTCTGCTTTAATTTTGAATTTTGCCGCTTCCGTTTGACTGGATAATGTTTCCTTCGCCAAAATGTCCCGTTCCTTGACCACGCTGTCATGATTGATCGACAAATTAGAAAAATCAATTTTATAGCGTATTTTCTCCTCTTCCAAACGGTTAATCGTTTCCATCGCTAATTTCAAACGAGCCCGCAATTCCTGCGACATTCGTCGTTCATTTTGCAAGAGCGATTCCTTGGAGTAGAGTTCCTCACGAATTACAAGGCGCTCTTTTTCTAATTTGTCTAATTCTATCTAAATTAACCACATATTTTTAAAAAATTATCATTTTCTTAACTGCACATTGATGTTCTTATATTGTTACTATAATTATAAACTTGACCATAGAACGTTGAATTTTATAATAATTTTCTTCCATTTCTATTTATTGTTGTAAAGAAAAGAATACACTAATCCTTTAAGTAATAATATATAAATATTTATGTAACGAATTAAGAACTAACCGTGTTTTGCTGAACTTCGTAAACCATTTCGTGAAATCTTTTTTCGAAATGGAAAATGTCTGGAGCGTTCGATCGAATATTATTCATCGTCGTACAATTATTGTTAACCGTTATTACATAGAAATTTTTCAACAATTAACTTAGAACCACGTTTATGTTCTTTTTTTAAATGGTTCGTTCGAGATTAAAGTATGCGTTTCAATCGATATATTCGATCTCTCGAACTATGCTCAAACTGTAACTGTCTTAACATAAATTTTGAAGTTATTTGAGCACTAAATACATTATTTTTCCGATTTTCTGCTTAGAATAAAAATTTTACAGATACATTGAGACACTTATGTTCGTAAAGGACTGTTGAAATTTTCTGGAGATTGGAAGACAATGTAAGACCTTAAATAATGAAGACTTTATTTTGAAAATATCTTATGTGGCTAGTATAAAAAAAATCAATGACTGTCCATGAATTGAATATCTGATAGTAATAAAACTGTATTTGGTAATGGTCTTGGCTGAGGACTTAGTACTGTAAATGTTTGCCTTTCCACGTCCACATTGGTGCTGCAAAATAAAAAAAAACTCGTCTCTGAGTTATCATTCTTTAATGCCTCAGTAAATATTAGTTTCCAAAATATGGATTTCTTACACGCAGACAAATCCAGCAACATTGGTTTGCACCACATCATCTTCGGGTGAATCAGCGAACGAGACCGATAACAAATGGTGAAGTAGATTGGGCCCAGCTGTGACTGCTACTAATTTTGTTAAATTGTCCTCTGCCTTCATTCCCAGTGGCATACAGGATGCAGGCAACACCGGAGCCCCAATTTTGTACAATCTAGCTTCACTCCATTTCACTTCGAAACTATGAGGATAAAGTGGAGTTCTGGATCCGTAAAAGTATTCCCTGACACCTTGGTCTCTGGCTTCTATCCTCTGCGCTTGACTTCTTTCCACCACACCACCGCTTTTCGGTAGAAAAACAACTTTAACGAAGTCTGGCATATCTCTAACAAGTTCATTGTAAAGTCTTTCTTGGTCCAATACCAATATAGCATCCACTTCGAAAGCCTGAGCTGCGTGCGTCAATAATTTGTATCCCTGTCCTTTGACCCATCCGCAAGTGTTTATCACAATCCCAGAGACTCTAGCCTTTTTATTGGCTTGAAGTCTATCGGAACAGACCTCAGCTAAACGTGTCACCAAGAGATTGTAAAGAGCAACATTGGTCTGCGGTGATTTATGACCAAAGTGAAAGACCAATGGTGCTTGCTGACTGAAACCTTCGACTATGTTCGATGGACGTTCAACGAGCAGAGCACCTACTGTACCAGGTATCGCTATGTGACCCTGGCCAACATCTAGGTCTACAAAGATTGGCCTGCGGCCCATTCTGACTGCATAATTTAACAAAAGTCTACATAGCGTTGATTTCCCAACGTCACACGGTCCTACAACCATTGTTATCGGTCCCCGTGTATCATCCTTCTCTGCTGTCTCTCTGAGCCTTTCCATTGCAGCATGGCAGTTCAGATAGAGACCCATTGGAGTTTCTTTGGCAACATAACTGACATCTGTTTTGCCAACTAATTCAACAGTGCATCCTTGCCATGTAAAGACAGCCACTTTAGCTCCGGCAGTAAACTCATATTTCTTTCCTTTTACTAATTCTGTGCCAAAGACTTCTGCTAAACCGCTTTTCAACTACATAATAAGAAATTCTTTTTAATAAGTGGAAATCATTAAAAGCTATTAAAAATCCTAGATCATTTTGATTGAATCAAATATCAGAAAAGTAAACTGACTTCAGATTTTTTCACAACAATACCGATTGTACTGGATAATTTATTGATAGACTTAGTATTTCTTTTATTAAATTAAATGAAATGAAAATATTAATTAATTCTTCATTAGGATTTTTATTCTATTGTGTACTGCAGATACAAATTTACTGTAAATTTCTACTATAAATTTTGGTATGAACGATTTACCATAAATTAAATAAACAAAATTTCAATCTTATTATCCATTTACTAATAATTCAAAATTTCGTAACACAAATAAAAGAAAATCGGATATACTTACTTCAAGAGTGACCTTTTCACTTTTAGTTTCAACTTCGAATCGTAGTTCACAGTCTGGATCTAATTTAAATTCTTGTGTTTGTGTTTTTTCGTCCGTCATTTTATTAACATAAATTATACCTGCTTGTCACATGCCTTTTAATTTAATCTGGTTAAGGTTTCGTTTACGAATCAATCTTCCTTAACCCTTCTTTAATGTTGAATTGTTTACGTACTGTGTCCTAACCTAAAATCCAACACATTAATACTATCGATATCGATCTCGATGTTTCTTGATATTGTTCGTCGAGATATTTGTCGATAGTTACATTAGCGATAAATTTTCAAAAATTCTCATTTATTACATACAAAATACTTACAGAAATTAGATTTAAGTGGAAATATAAATACATTCAGGTAATGTCAAATTATTCATCGAAGTTTTCTGCATATATAATACTTAATGCGAATGAAAATTTGTCGTGTTTCGTAATTAATATTTCATTTTTTTATAAGGGCGCCTAAAGGTCATTGTGGGTATCACCTAGTGACAAAAGTATAATATTAATTGGCTACTAGCTTGGACGATCTGCCGTAGATGGCACCACCAGTCCATTGGTCTAGTTCAGTCTAGTTCTACTGTGCACAATGCACCATATCAGTTTAGTGAATTTAATAATTAGTCAACAGCCAATCAATCTCTAATTCAGTGGTTTATTTGTCCTTTCTTTTATGCCTATGTCAAAACTTGAAATATGTTAATATATAATTATACATCAGTAATATTCCAGTTTCTTTAATCACCAGTAAAATAAAGCCCACGTTCATAGTTTCATATTGAAAACTGACCCGAAAAGTGTCCCGAATTGGATACGTAACTTTTCAACACATTTTAATGACACACAATTAAATAAACTAAAAGAATGGTGTCCTCGCAAATGTGTTAAGTATTCTTTTTATTTTTGTTTGAACACGTTCTGCATTCCAACACAACCCTCACAAGCAAACTCGGATTCCGCTAGGGAAAAAAGTAATGTAAGGAAAGACCTCCTACCACTTGGTCTCGGAGTTATTGAAAATTATGCGAAATTAACATTCAGTTTAACATTTATTTCAGTATTTGAAATAAATTTATCAAACAGTAGGAGGTATTAACCCCTACATTGCTTTTTCCCCTAGTGGAAGCCGAGTTTTATTAATTAAATAAAACAATATTATTAACTGATCAAAATATAAATACTTCCTTTTTTGATCCCACAGAAGAAGGAAACCCAATTTTTTATAAACATTTATTTTGATTTTTTGGTCACCTTAAAACATCTAGTAACTTTAATATTTCACAGGTCTATCATAATAAGTTTTTCTAATTGTCACTAGTATTCTCCGCACGTTTACTAGGCGAAATTCCGCAATCGACCGGGAGAGGTCGTCGTGTGACGCACCTGCGTGCCATCTAACTAAAAATGGCGCCCTGCGGTGTTCTACCATTTGCATCTTGCTGGGCCGGCGGCGTGCGCGAAAACCATTACCACTGAGAGTCAGCCCTGTTCCATCGTGTTCAACGAATATGCCTACTTAAAGCTGGCAGCCGCGACTGCCCGCTTATTAGTGCGAGTCTTTGTCTTTCCGTGTGCACAAACGAAGTAAAGCAACTGATCCTCTGTGATCCACCTGGTGTCTTCTTCCACCATCGACTCGTTCTGAAACCCAGTACTTCCTCGGCCTACCTCGAGGTATGTATCTGCAAATTCCGATCCCTTATCCAATTTTCTTCTGCTTTCGACGAACACGTATCGCGTTTACGCGAAATCTCTGTCATTTCTTTCTCTTCGAAAATATACAAACGACATTTTTTCACTCAGCTAAATTTTCATCATCACGCGACTCAGGATCGACTGTGAAAGTTCTCTACCTGACGAATTATTATCGGTTCACCGTTTAACGCAAGAATTTTCTCGTATTTGTTGTTTTTTTTTTCAATTCACGATTTCCCTCGAAAACAATTCTATTCCTTATACACCTGCAGCAGTTCCATTTACACACCGTTCGAATTTCCGGCACTGATGACAGACCACGTACCTTGCATCTAATATGCTCGTATTATGAGTTTTCTCCTTACAACACCGTCGATAATTAGACAGTCAACTTCTTCTCGTGTCTCGGTATAAAATTTCATTTTCTTAATTATTGAATACGTCGATCGGTTCACGGGTATTAATTTATTTATATTCGACATCTTTCATCGTCGATTGTAATCGATATTTTGGAGAAATTATGACTGAAAGTCACTTTTCCGGTTTTATAGAATCCCCTTGCATTCTTTTGGAAATGTGTCAGTTACCGTCTACGAGAATCGCGAAAACGTTTTCGTTTAAATTTTTCAATCTTCCGAATGAAATTTTTCCCGTGATCCTATCAGATGTTATTTTCGTTCTGATTTGCTGCGGTTTATGAGATTCGACGGTGACTCGAGAGATTAATATTCCACGTTCACGTGGACGTATTGAGTAACCGTGAAAACTCCTTAAGGTATCTTTCAAGTAAATTTCCGGCCGATATCCAATTTCACCGTAAATTGGTATACAGAAAATGTAAATTATATCCGGATGTCCAATTACACTTTTCGTGGCCGATTATGTTCTTGTATATTTTAACGTTATCAGCAATAAAAGTCTAATACAATGTGATATCATTGAATGGAATAGTAGTGGCAGTTAAAAATGTGTGTATATATAGGGTGGAACAAAAGTGATCTATATTATATTTCCCACATCACTAATCACACTTAAATATCTGTATCCGTATAATGTATATAATATCCGCCTAAACTAGACAGAGAATATTATACACTTATAGTACACAGTCGCTAAAACTCGGTGCAAATAGGTTAAGGAAACTTTTGGTAATAACAATCATGTTATTTTCCATTAATTTTTTTTTTTATTAAGTATGTCACCTTACATCAGCTGGTTATTGTTGTTATTAAGAAATAAAATCGAGTTCATTTTGAAATACTCGTGACCAAAGTGTTTTCCGTCAGGGACAAATGTATTTAATCGTATTTCGTGATTTCGATTTTATCGTGTTACGTTCCTCTAATCGTTAAATTTAAAACTTTTTATCAGCGTTACGTCGTAGTGTGACCCTCTTTATTCTTATAAACACTGGTATGCGACGTGCTAGAGAATCACACGTGGTATAGATTAACTGTTGAAAAGTAGTCGAACCCGTGTAATAATTTATAATGCAATTACCAAAGTGTGACAGTGATTACTGTATATAGTATACCCCTTTGTGGCTATAAGTGAGTTACAAGTTATTCATTTTTCCGATAATTTGCAAGCGTGGAGTTCCAATCGTCGAATTAAATCGACATTTTTTTGCATTTCCTGAGTGTTCAGATGTTTGGAATAATTTGTGTTCTACTTTCAGTTAAATACGTTGCAAATCAGAATTTTGTTTAATCTTCGTTTAAATTTCAGTCATTTTTTCCCACGATTACTAGAAATATTCACGGAGCGGACGTTGGAATTCAAAATTCATAAATTAGGCGCGGTAACCGTTTGAAAGTTCTCGGTCGTGTATTGAAATGTAAATGTAATCGAGTTAGGGGTACAGTCGAATCCAGAAGTATCAGGACACCTGTTCCGTGATTGTGGAGTTTTTTTTTAATGTTTCACATAAATCACATAGTTTGTGTCACTTTTTATTTATATTGGTATAATAATAAAAATTAATTTCAATGCTGGAAAATTATATAAATTTTTATAAGACTTGAATAAAACAACTTTTTTATGTTCATAAGATCCAAAATAGTTCACAGAATAATTAATAGATATTGGCTTAATATTTATAGTATTTTGACTTTGTGAAATTTTGATAGTTGCAGCTTTGTAAGTCAAAGTGGTAAACACACTAACAAAATTCGAGAAACAAGACAATTATAACGAATATTATATTTGTTGCTCACGTTTATACATTATTAATGTACGACGATTTCACATATTTGTTTGTATTTTTGTATAGTAAACACTATACGTTTTTTGCATTTTATTTAAACCATTATTTACACAAGTGGCACACAGAGATATATTACATAATCTCTGATTAATTGCCTCGTTTTGTAATTTTTGTCAATAATAATATTGCAATGATTTTTTCACGTTCACATACCACGAGTGTTTTATATTTATGAACGGGAGTATACGTTCATTCTTCGTATCGTACGAGGCTATTGAAGTTGATGGACAGAGTTCTTAAACAAGTTATAAACAACATTTCTTTTGACTACTTCCCCCCCCCCCAATTTAATTCGAGCAGAAACGAAACTGAAAAAAAAGTTTATTTTATTAAACATACAAAAATCTTTTCTTTTCCCTGTAAAATTAGAATCTCTAAAGAACATTATAGGTTTCTATTTGAAAAAGACAGTTAAAAAATAAATAGGGTAGTTGTATATCCCCCTTGAAACCGTGAAACACTTGAATCCAACATTTTTCCCGAAAATGCATTGTTTTCGAGATATTTAGATTCGAAGTTTTTAAACGAACACCCTGTATACATGTTTATTATGGTTAACAAATTAGACAGAATAAATTTGTGTTCGATGGCAAATGAACCGCGTGTCGCGTACCCGCCCTAATATCCCGTGAAATTTGGCGCGAATTTCAAAACGCATCGACGAACTATCTTCAAGTCAGTCAACGAATCACTGTCCATGTTACATTATTATAACTGCACACGAATGATATAAGTAAATTGATGTATACAAGTTTTTTCTTTCACTGTAAATTACACTCTGGAAGATATATTCGCGTGGCCGATAACTCAGTTCATTACAATTTTGTTTCAAAAACAGTATTTTGCAATTCTAAATGCATTTTCATTTTAAATTATATTTCCGAGTGGAAATAATAATGAAGTATACCACCGTTCGTGAGTAGTAGAGCATCTGTATTATTGTGGGTAGAAGTAGTCTAGTTTTATTGTGGTAAAAAAAGTATATATGACACATTAAATTATTATTTATTATACGGGGTGAGTCAGTAAGAATTAAAATCTAAAACAAAACGTTTTAGTGAATTATGTAGCATTTTAAGGGACACATCGTATGGACATAATTTGATTTTTTTATATCTTATTTTCTTTGAGATATCAGAGTGACCTTGAGTTCTTTAAGGTCAGTGCATCTTTGTTTTAATACCACGTTATTGTCGTTGGAAGGATAAATTCAGTGAACTATAGCATGATGATATTAAAAAGATGCGTTAACCTTGATAAAACCCAAGGTCACCTTGACATCTCAAAAACAAAAAGTGAAACTGTATTCTTCCGATGCGTCCCTTAAAATGTTACATAATTCATTCAAACGTTTTTCGATACAACCAACAGGTGAACAGTTATTTTAGATAGTAGCTCTTATTGACTCACCCTGTATATTGAAATATAAAATTTTTTTTATCACAAGTCATTAATTTAATCGAATAGGTTAATATTCCCTAAACAAAATATTTATATAGCAATTTCGTAATTTCTTTGTGACATTTACCGCATAGGTATTCGATAAGTGTCGTAACACTTACGAGCAAGATTGCGCCAAGTATAAAATTTTGTTCGTGTCACAAATCTACGGAGAATTTTTTTCATCGTTCGAGAGGGTGGTGACAGATTATATAAAGTAAACAGACTTAGGGGTCGGTTAGTCGCATCGGTTCGACGGTGTCGGATTACATACACGGTGTTCGCCCTTTTCGCGCAAAAAACTCGTACGTGTATTGTTGTTTTTTTTTTAAGACCTGTCTCGCCACAATAAGGAAAAGAGAGAGAGTGGACAGGTCTTCCCAAATAACACTCATATTCACGGTGCAAAGTGCACCCCGGGCATTTCTCGTGCTTTAAACGCTGTTTTCCTCTTTGGATTATTCCTTCTCTCGCGTTGGACTCTTGTTTTTTCCCCCCTTTCTGTGTCTCGCGGTGCCGAGAACGCGATAATACGGACGAGATGGAGAAAGTTTTGACCTATGATGATAGCTCTCCGTCCATACACGTGGACGGTCACGAGGGAACGACACAGAGTATGTGTGTATACAGGGTGGCTCAATTACTCGTCAACTAATGGGTGTATGGAAAAAATATTTTAGACAAAAGTTGCATGGTATTTGCTGTACTATTTCTGTGCCCCTTGACACCTTTTAACTTTTATCTGAAAGATTTTTTAATATCGTCAACAGTTTCGGAGATATTCGAGTTGGTCGATTTAAATGGCACACCCTGTATAGAACTTCCAACGTGGGATAGCTGACGAAAGTCGATGTGTCATTTGAGAAAACAAGTCGTTTCCATACGTTTGTATTTGGTAACACCTCGGAGTCGTTAACTATACGTTTCTTGGGTATTCCACAGACATCCTAATTTTGGAGTGGGACTGTTATTATGGGGCCAACGGTCGTATATGGGGACCCTTCATTAGTGGTATTCGAATAGAATATATCGTTTTTTGGTTACAAATAAAATGGTATTTTATTGTTATTATTGATATATGTACTGTCGTTCATAATTATTGGGACAATTGTTGAGATAAAATGCGATATTTTCATGAAAATTATGGATTTTTAGCTACTTATATTAATTTATATTGGCATAAGTGATTTCTATTCAGCTTCAATATCCCCTAAATCGTACTTACTCCAGACCTTCAACTATTTCGTAACGCCTTATTGGATAAGTGTCCCGG